CAATGAAATCCGACCCCGAGTGCTGCGGTCCGCGACGGGACAGATTACGGAATCCGACGTCGAGCAGGCCGGCGTGACGGGCAGCCACATCATCAACTTTAACAACCCCATACCGGGGAACATCAAGCGCATGGCGGACACAGCGGGAGTCAAGGTGCTCGACCATAATATCATATACCATCTGGCGGAAGACGTGAGGGATAGCCTGTCGAGCATGTTGGCGCCGACTATCACCACCAAAGTAGTTGGCGAGGCGGAGATCCTGCAGGTCTTTCCGATTAATGTCAAGGGCAGACAGTTTCGGAACGTGGCTGGCTGCAGGGTGCGAAACGGCCAAGTTACGAGGAACTCAAAGTGCAGAGTTATAAGAAACGGTGACGTTGTTTTTGAAGGTAAGTTCCCAAATTCTATAGAAATCAGTGAGGTAGGGTAAACAGGTAAAGGGTTGTGCTAACAGTGACAAAAAAAAATTAGGGACGATCGAGTCATTAAAGCATGGAAAGAAAGACGTGGCCGAGATGCGCAAGGGCGCGGAATGCGGCATCTCGTTCAAGGACTTTGACGACTTCAAGCAGGGCGATAATGTGCAGGTCTTTGAAGAGATTCGCGAGAAGCGGAAGCTGTAACACCACCTATACCAAAAGATCTCCCCTGTTGTACCATAATTTACATGTATGTATGTACTATTTGTACCTGTATATAATACAATTCTGTCGAGAGAAAGTTCAGGGGCTACCAGCTACCCGCGTTTAGGGGCAGACACGGCATAACTTGAAAATGTTCGGGTGGTTGTGTTTTGAGTTGCCCTCGCGCGCTCCTTTTCCAATTTTGCCAGACCTATCCTGTCCGTGACTGGCGTAGCGGCGATGATGTTGTCAAACTCGTCATCCCCTTCTCCATCAGAGTTCTGTTCATTATCTGAGTCCGGCTCAATGTCTGAATCAGGTTTGAGCGTCTGCGGTTTGGGGATGGTCTCTAGCGGTGCCTTCTTGTCATCCGTTGGCTTGGCGTTGCTGAACGGTTTCGATGCCAAGATCTTGCGTCGTATCACCTCCATCTGCGCCTCTTCCTCGTCGTCGTCATCGTCGTCTGATATTGCGTACCGGTCCTTCTCTTGCTCTGGCTCCTTGGGGGCTGGTTGTTTGCCGAGGTAGATGCCGTCCGGCGCATCTTCCTCTTCCTCCTCGTCCTCCTCATCCCCTTCTTCCCCTTCCCCGGATTCGTCATCGTCGTCATCACTGTCGAATTGAGATGGCCGGTGGTTCACGTTCCCCCCTGCCCACAAATCGTCACCCTCCTCCCCTCCCGGCGCCCTACTCTCGGCGTATTCGCGCTCGAGACGTTCCATCCACTGCTCCTCCGTCTTCTTGATTGCTTGCGCGTCTTCGCACTTCATGTATTTATCCAGCAGCGTCTTGTTTATCTCGATAAACGCCCGACCGTAGCTGAAAGGGGCGAGGATATCTGCTGCCCAGTCCGGGTGGCCGCATATGTAAAACGCAGCTGCCAACGCCTCGACACAGTTCAAGCGCCACGGTTTGCCGTAGTTTACCGTATTCGCTGCCACTAAATAGGGTAGCAGGCGCTCGCACTTGCCGCCGACCTTGGACCATTGTACCTCCTTTGTCCGCGCCCAACTGCATTCCACGACGGCTGCGCCGAACTGGTCGAGCAAGGGACGGTCGGCGGGGGATACGACGGTTTTCCCGTTAGGGGTAATGATTACGCCTGAATGCCGCTGCCCTAGGTGAAGCTCGCGCATCATGCCCAACTTCATCAGCTTCTTGCCGCTGCAGCGTTTTGGGTCGCAGTGGCCCAGGTCCCAGCATGCCGCTTTGAAATTCGGTCGTGCACTGCCGGAAGAAGGCAACTCGGGTCGGGAAGAGGTGTCGTCTTCGTTATCGGAGCCATTTGAGGGCCGGGGGTTGGAGGGCGCGCCCCGGGGAGTACCCCGTGGAGGGCCGGAATGGAGCCTGCGGCCCCGGGACGAGAAGTTGTCTTTCTTGTGTCTGACCATTTTTCACTCTAGCGGGAACGACAGGATGACCGGGGGTGAAGCAGAAGGAAATGGGAAGGAGTAAGTGAGGTAGGAAGGGACGGCGAAAGGGAGCAAGGAAGGCAGATAGGAAGAGCCAAGCAAAGTAGCGTGAATGACGATGACTTCAAAAATAATATATTCATGGCGGGGTAACACACAGCACGATTGTCCAGCGCCCCGCTCCTCCCCCGCTTTCGTCACACACGCTTTGGTGAATAACATATTCCTATAACCGAATAATAGCGCAGGATACCCCAGCTCCAGCGGGATGGAGAACACATGAATGTCACCAAAGTGGGCTGCCTGCTCCCCGACCGACGGTGCTGGACTTCAAAGAGGATGCTCCTGAGACCACACAAACGCTTTGTTCCGTCATTTGCGACAACCATTCTTTAACGTTCGCTTATAGCTGGATGGACTAATTGAACGCAATTCTTGGGCGACACCAGAGGAACAACAACGGGTTCCACAGAAGCTGGGAAAAGCACAAAGAAACACATGGAAGCTGCATCAGCGCGGTACGCGGCCAGAGACCGCTGGGGCGAGATGGGCACCCACACGACGGCGCCGTCGCAGCTGATGCGCTTCATTCAGGCGGCCTGCAGTCCGGACAACTACGAGCCGAATCTAGCGCTGAGCCTCGAGATCGCCGACCTGATCAACTCCAAGAAGGGCTCCGCGCCGCGCGAGGCCGCCGTCGCCATCGTCAACTACATCAACCACCGCAACCCGAACGTGTCGCTGCTGGCGCTCAACTTGCTGGATATATGTGTCAAGAACTGCGGATACCCTTTCCACCTGCAGATCAGCACCAAGGAGTTCCTCAACGAGCTGGTCCGGCGGTTTCCCGAACGACCACCGATACGGCCTACCCGTGTGCAACTCAAGATCCTCGAGGCTATCGAAGAATGGAGGGGCACGATCTGCGAGACGAGCAGGTACAAGGAGGATTTGGGCTTCATCAGGGACATGCACCGTCTGCTCAGCTACAAGGGGTACACATTCCCGGAGGTCAGGAGGGAAGATGCTGCCGTGCTCAATCCCAGCGATGTACGTCCCCTCACACTGTCGTATGATGTTGCGGTGCTAACAGCTGTAGAACCTAAAATCAGCCGAAGAAATGGAGGAGGAAGAGCGGGAGGCGCAATCGGCAAAACTGCAAGAACTTATCCGCAGAGGCGCCCCTGAGGACCTGCAAGAAGCCAACCGACTCATGAAAATCATGGCCGGCTACGACACCCGGTCAAAGGTCGACTATCGCGCCAAGGCAGCCGAGGAGGTAACCAAGATCCAGCAGAAAGCTCGGCTCCTGGAAGAGAGGTTAGAGCAGTTTAAGCCCGGCGACAAGATGACCGACGGCGACGTCTTTTCCGAGCTCGCCTCCGCCCTGTCCAGCGCGCAGCCCAAAATCCAAAAGATGTGCGAGGAAGAGTCAGACGACCATGAGGCCGTCGCCAAGCTGCTTGAGATCAACGATAGCATACACCGGACGGTGGAGCGGTACAAGCTGATGAAGAAGGGTGACGTGGACGCCGCGAACCAAATAGCCAGAGGGCAGCAACCCACAAGCACCAGCAACGGCAAGAGCGCAGCGAACGAACTATCACTAATTGACCTTGATGCCGATGCGCCCGACGCGAATGGCTCGTCATCGCAGGCCCAGGCATCTGGCGGAATAGAAAATGATCTCTTGGGTCTGTCAATAGGCGATACCAGCGGCAGCAGCAGCTTCGGGCAGACCGGGGGCATCGCTCTTGGATTTGGTGCCAATACCAGTACGCCCCCCCCCCCCACCTCTTTCTTCCTCACTCTTTCAGGGACGCTAATCTAAGTTGTAGATGTCCCTGGCCCAGCACTGCTATCATCAGTAACGCAGAGCAACAGCGCGAAAGGCCCCGTTGCGTCCACATCAACGCCCCCTCCTGGCTTCTCACACTTTTCGTCTTTTGCCTCGGCGCCCTCAAAATCCCAATCATCTACCCCGCAGCCTACACAGTCCGCCCTTGCTGCCCCCCCAAAATACACACCAGCTTCTTCATCGGATCCCTTTGCTACGTTGGGATCTCTCTCGAAACCTACTGCACCTCCCAAACAAACAGCACCCGCAGCACCATTAGTAAATACGAATGACGATGACGAGTGGTCGTTTTCGTCTGCACTACCACCAGAATCGCAAGGTCCTCCAGAGGTATACGAAACCACTGTTAGCAACACGAATATTCAGATCCAAATGCGCGCTGTCAGGGACAAGGCAGTTAGTCCGAACTGCATCAGCGTCGGGTTTCTGTTCAAGAACAATACTGAGCAGCCCATCACGGAACTACACTTTGAGACTGCCGTCACGCGAGTAAGTAACAGACCCATATTGAGGAATGATACGGGGGTGTTAACGGTGTGTATAGGGATATGAGCTACAACTGAAACCACAGTCCGGAAGAACGCTAGAGCCAAAGTCCAAGCAGAGTTTCGTGACGCAGTCCATCAACGTCTGGCATGCGGGAAATCGAAGTAGGAAGGTGGAGAGTATCAAACTGAGGTGGAGGGTGAGTTATAAGTTGGGAGGGGAGGTCAAGAGCGAGATGGGGGAGATTCCTGAGTTTAGTCTTGCATGACCATGAACATGACCCTAGACATACCTTTTTTTTCCTTTACGGGGGGAGAGCGTTAATTGATGATTGAAGAGCGTATATTTGATACATGAGTGTGACGATGACGATGTACTGGTCTTGATATCGTGATACACATCCGGTCGCAAAGCATTACATATATATATATGATATGTATGGGTTTGCGCCAACGTTGGCAAGAACATACATACGTCAAGGACCAAAAGAAAGTGAAGAGGTGTCGGACCACGTCCTTATTTATATATGTAAATAAGGTAAGAAGAGAAAGATAAACAAGACCAAAAAGTTCCAAGGTACATACATATGCCGGTACCTGAGTGGTGGAAGTAATGGGCTGGATGCACCCGGGATCGAACCGGGGACCTTTCACAAGCGCTCAATATATCATCATCACCTTTGCCTCACTTGAGGTTTTTTTTGTGAATTGACAAATGCGAAGCGAAAATCATACCACTAGACCATGCACCCCTTTTTAATTACCATTCTCGCTATCTAATCTCTCTCACGTAGTCTAGTCTGTGTAAGGAGAGGTCTTGTCTCTACTTCCCCCCCCTTAACTTAAACGAGAGAGATTCTTAATTAGAAAAGTTTTCGCGCGCTTTTGTTAAAACTTCCCGCGATCCATTATCTACAATCAGCTAAGCAAATGAAATTCAGTTCGACACTAGGTAGACAGACAAGGTGGACCGTGGAGCTACATCCCCCCCTTCCCCCTTATTATAGGGAAGAACCCGGGGGGGGGGGGGGGGGGGGGGGTTATAAAAAAAAAAACCCCCTTAAAAACCATGAATTAAAAAAATATCGGAAAAGCACAAGTAATAACACCAGTAAACCAGGAGAAAGGCGTTTGCCGTG